GCTGTTTAACAGGCTTTCAAAAGAACCAAGATGTGGATTCACAGGGGTCAGCTGGAAAAGGCAATTTATTATGGATCATCACTTGGGTATGTGGCAACGTACCTGAAAAGTCATTCTTCTACTAGCAAGCTGTTAACTGCCTGTGGGAAGGCGACTGGAGGGTGGGGGTGGAGGGAGAGTTTTGTTTCACTCTGTAGCATGTCGTTTTGTTTCATTTTTAACCACGTGCATCTATTACCCACCAGACAGATACGAACGGATATATAAGAAAACTGAAGGAATGCTCCCTGAGTTTATTTTGACTCTGACAGCACTAAGGACAGAGTGGGGATTCCCTACTTGACGCCACCTGGATGCCGGCTTTTTACTCCTCTTAGAAAATAAGATGACACAGAAATCTAAAAAGCGCGGCTCGTCCCGCTACAGGCGTGGGCCAGCTACAAAGAAAGGGATCTTAACCACAGTAGTTCAGATATCGTAACCCAGACACGTTTTTCTCTGAGCACCAAGGGAGGAGGCACCGAGGGAAGGAACAGGCACGGATTCTGCTCCAAGCTACCCTTACATCAGTGTCCCAGAATAATCAGAAGAATTCTAGCCCTGACGCCTACTGGAAACCCTGGTGGTGTACTGGTTAAGAGCTACGACTGCTAACCACAACGCCGGCAGCTCGAACCCACCAGGCGCTCCCTGGAAACTCAATGCGGCAGTTCTACTCTGGTCTATAGGGTCACTATGAGTCAGAATCGACTCAAGTGCAATGAGTTTTGGGTTTGAGACCCCTACTAGTGAAATAGAGAAGAGGCACACTGGGAGACCTTCAGAGCCAACAAAGACGCAGATCTGCCCAGCACCGTGTATCATATACCACCCCAGCGCCTCTCCTTAAGCATACGGTGAAAGTTAGGCAAGGAGGCATCCTGGAAAACAGAGATTCACAAAACTGCAGCGCTCCCTTGTGCTTAGAGAATGATGGAGACAGACTGCAAAAAGAAATAAAGAAGGTAAAAGAACGTGTACGGGACTGTGCTGGGTGAGAGCCACCAGCCAGGCCTGGTGCTATCTGTGTTCTTGCCTGAGTGACTGACCGGCTCTCCATCAACACTGAGCTCCTTCCCGTTCTTCAGATGCTTAGAAATAAGTGCGCTAACTTCAAGACCACCTGAGTTACCACGCTACAGATGCTGTAACTTACAGACACCCTAGCCCTCATGGTGTGCACTGAAGGTATTTGCTTCTGCTACAGGCCAGGCGTGCGCCATTTGGGATACAGAGGCACCAACCCGGGAGCGAGGCTAAAGGAAGTTCAGGTCCTGGCTCTGCCCTTCCATGCCAACTGACCTGAGGTCAGCCACCTCACTCCCCATCAGCACATGTGGGAGCAACAGTGCCCCTAGCTCCCTCACAGGGCTGTTAAGAAGATTTAGTTAGTTAACACGGGTAATGCGCTAAACACAGTGCCGGGCACCTCACTGGTGGTATATGTGAACTGCTTATTATTACTGTTACTCATGTTGTTATTGACATGCAAGCATAAGTTCTGCATAGGACATCTTAATTATTCAGCATTAGCATTTCATACCTGACACTCAGACATTGCCATGGTTTTGTACGGAAAAGAATCAGACGCTTACTGTCATCGGTTAAAGCAAAATAGCTGCCAGACTCAGAGAAGGCAGAAGCCAGAATCGTGTCACTCCCCTTCTCCACGGGCTGCCCGTCCTCCCTGAGAGAGACAAGAGGGGGACAATTACACAGAGTGAACGAGGCCGCGTTCCCCCACGGCTAGCCTTGTTAGTTTACAAGACGAGCAGAAGCAGAACATGCTCTCACAAGGCTCACGTAGCCAGAATATAAAACCAAACCAGTTGCCATCAAGTCGACTCTAACTCACGGTGCCCCCGTGCGTGTCAGAGTAGAACTGTGCTCCTTAAGGTTTTCAGTGGTTGATTTTTCACAAATAGATCACCAGGCCTTTCTTCCGAGGCACCTCTGGGTGGGTTCAAACCACCAACCTTTTGGTTAGCAGTCGAGCACCTAAACCATTTCCACCACCCAGGACTCCAGCCGGAACATAAGGATGTATTATTAAAGGGGATGGGGGAGGTTCAAAACAGCTCTAATTTTAGAGAGTAAAGTCTAACGAAACAGAAAAATCTCTCGGCGTACACACAGGAATCATAACAGCCGAGCTGGAAGGACCCTCAGAGATCACACGGACCCACCCTCTCATGGGCATGAACTAATCCAAAGCCACAGGTCAACTATACCAAGGGAAGCCACCATGTAAGGCTATCACACACTGCTTTTATCTTTCAATTAGGTAAGATTAATTGCCTACAACTGCCTTCCACGCGGAGCCCTGGTGGCGCAGTGGTTAAGAGCTTGGCTGCTAACCAAAAGGTCGGCAGAGCCCTGATGGCGCAGTGGTTAAGAGCTTGGCTGCTAACCAAAAGGTCGGCAGAGCCCTGATGGCGCAGTGGTTAAGAGCTTGGCTGCTAACCAAAAGGTCGGCAGAGCCCTGGTGGCGCAGTGGTTAAGAGCTTGGCTGCTAACCAAAAGGTCGGCAGAGCCCTGGTGGCACAGTGGTTAAGAGCTTGGCTGCTAACCAAAAGGTCGGCAGTCTGAATTCACCAGCCACTCCTTGGAAACCTTATGGGGCAGTTCTACTCTGTCCTACAGGGTTACTATGAGTTGGAATCAACTCCACGGCAACAGGTTTGGGCTTTTTTTGGCCTTGCATGCATTTTAAATGTATACCAATATTTCAACAAGTCAATAAAATAATTACTCGGATTGAAACTAAGTAAAAAAGTATTTAGAAAAGTCCCAATGTTGTTACTGCTTGATTTGAAAGTGCAGTCCATGCTTCTTTCCTGAGATGGTACTTATTTCACCCACACATTGTTGTTGCTGTTGCCACTGAGTCGATTCTGACTCATGGCGACCCCTCATGACAGAGTAAAACTGCCACACACGGTCTTCTTGGCTGTGATCTTTATGGAAACAGATCGCCAGGTCTTTTGCCCACGGAGCCACTGAATGGGTTTGAATCACCAACCTTTCAGTTAGCAGCCAAGCAAGTAACCATTGCACTGCCAGGGCTCCTTATCCACACAGTAGGGTAACAGAAATTAAGAAATCAGCAGTAAGAACAATTCCGTCTTCTGCTCCCCGGATCCTATTAATTCAAACCATTAATCAGGCCCTGAGGTGATTTCCAGCCATCTCACCCTTTATTTTCCTGTGGCTTCTCTTCCGCAGTACTGCAATCATATGTGAAGAGGCTGTCGTCATCGCTAAAAAGAAATAAAAATGACTTGAAAAGGAGATTTGTATTTAAAATGCTGGGGTTTTTTTCCTGAGACAAAAAATATCTGTACACTCGTTAAATTAACTGCAACCAGAAAGATTCAGAGAACAGTCAAGGAATTTTATTTCCTTCATCTCCTATTTAGATTTGCTGCATAAAATTGGCATGGTTCTGTCCAGAAACATCAGTTACCTAAAATAAATGAGGAGGAAAAAACACAATAGGAAGTTAGATGCTGTTTCTTTCTGGGTGCTAGAAAATCAACGCAACATGATTCCGTTAAAAGAAAATTGTGCTCTGATATCGTTGAGTTTTCAGTGGATTTTTTATACCCAAATTTACAACTACCATTGCTTATTTAGAAAAACGGCTTCTAGAACCCTCGCCTACCTAAAAAGCTCCCAAGCACTTACCATTACGGGTATCACCCATCTCCCGGACCAGACCCTAAGGTCTCTTCAGTTTATGCGTATCTAGATCACCTCTATTCTCAGCCTTCCATTCCCACACTCACCCCAGTACCTGATACAGGACGGAATCTCATACATACTTTTAGCTAAATCCTGTGAATGTAAAAAGTAGTCTTCTAAATCAAGAAACTTTGCCAGCCACTGATTTCCACGAAAAGCCTAGACTGAAGCAAACGGATCAGCTCTGAAATCCCCATGGCTCACTACAACATATACTAGAAGCTGTGTGTCTACAACAAAACCTGGAATACAAGACAGCTTTATGAATAATTATTTGTGAGACCTAAAATTAACATCTAACAGGATTTCTGAAATCAAACATCAAACAGAGGCACGGAGAGTACGTTTGATCAACGCACCGTTTATTTCGAGTGTGAGAGAATCATAACTCCCCTGGGAAAGGAAACAAGAGGGCGAAACTGAGCACTATGAACACCCCCAGTCTCACTGGTCAAGACCATTCGGTCAACATGGATGTTCTAAAACTCTGGCCGGTGTCGAGGCACGCCGTATACGTTAAAGAGGAATGAAATTACAGAAAGCAAGCCCAGCACCATGTGAAAAGCCAGGGGAAAGCTGCTGGCTTGGGGTGCACGGAAAAGGACGATGCGTTAGTAAGATCACTGAGGCCTGAAGAGCAATTAGGACCGAGTCGGTGGATGCGGGAGGAAAAAAAGAGCAGGCACCACCGCAAAAAGAGGGAGGCGAGAGGGAGTGCGCTCAGCGAACGAGACCCGAACGTGCTCCTAAGAATACAAAAAGGCCTGAAAGCCGCTCCTGCAGGGATACCGGGGCCGCCGTCCGCCCACCCCCTGGGGTGGGCCGGGGTAACATCCCAGAGACCCCTCACTGGTCCAGCCCGGCCCGCGTCGCCCCACGTGACCCGGCCTTGCCCAGTCCGCGCGCGGCCGCCACCGGAGTCCGGAAGGCGCCGGGGCCGCGCTGACCCTGCCAAGGGCTAGGCCGCGAAGGGCGCGAGGAGCCCTGGGCGGGTCCTGGGAGGGGACGCGGAGAAGGGAGGCTCCACTGTCCGGGCACAGCCCGGCCGAGGCAACGGCTGAGTGTATGGAGTTCCCCGGGGTGACCAAGGGTGCAGTGGGACAAGGTCGCCAGTCCCCGACCGCGCCCGCAGCCTGGGCTCACTGCTCCAGTCCCCCATCCCCCTCACCTATTTGCAATAGTGGTGGCCAGGAACCGGCTACCGCCGCGCACCACCAGCGCTTGCCCGCACAGCGACAGCCCCGCGGAACTCGCCATGTGTACACCCGACGCGCCGCCGCCCACGTGCGCTCCGGAGTTACCTTTTCCTCTCGGCGCCGGGCCGTGACGTCACCAGCAGACGCCGGGAGGTGGCGTAATCTTACCGGTCCGCCCTTCCCCCCGCGGAGGAGCTAGCCTTGGGCATGCGCAGAAAGCATTTGCTCCTTTAATCCCTCAGGAGAAATTTAGTGGCCTTTTTTGGGTCAGGGTCAATCGCTCACCAAATGTATCCTGGTGGAATACACATTACACGGGATTACAATTGCTTGCTAATGTCATCTTTCCTTCCAGACTGGGAACTCTGTAAGGGAGGGTTCTGGATGTTGTCCCCTGTATCTGCTCGACTTGGACAGCGCTTGATAACTTCTTGTTGCTTAGTAAATATTTCTTAAAAAAATGAGTACGTTTGACAGTGGGCGGTTCCTCAAAAACTTACACATAGAATCACCATTGCTATTGCTTGCCGTGGACTCGATTCTGACTCATGGCGACCCTATGTGTGCAGTTTCTGGGTGGTTTCAAACTACCAACTTTTCAGTTAGTAGACAGGCAAGCGTTTAAGCGTTTGCACCACCCAGGGACTCCATGTAAGTATGTGTGTGTATGTAAGTGAGTAAGTAAATATAAATATATATATAAATATATATACATACATGTATATATCTCACTGGTTCTGTTTCTCACCGGTGCACTGTTAACTTTTGCCATGGTCTTTTGGTCAGAGCAAGTCACGAGGGCAGCAAGATACAAGGGGTGGGAAAAATAGACTCCCCATCTTCATGGCAGGAGCAGCACGGTCACATAGAAAAAGGCGTGGATAAGGGGAGGGGTGAAGAATTAGGACCATTTTTGTGATTATGTCTTCCAAAGGCCATCCTCTGGCTCAAATTATTCACATCTGTCCACATGAAAAAGAGCCACCTCTTTGCAAGATCCCCAAAGGCCAAATCCAATCACAGCATCAGGATCAGAACCCAGGATCTCATGATCTATGTTAGATTTGGATGAGTCTCTGCAGATGCAGTGCCTCTTGGTCCAGAGACCTACAAACTGAAAAGATGAATTATCTGCTCTCCACACACCCAACATTAAATGGTAAAATGGAGAAGGACATCCACAATAAATACTTCCATTTGAAAAGAAGAAGAATGGGAGGCACAGAGCCATCACCGACACATAGCAGATCTGAAATCCACTGGGGAAATGTTTCTAGGTCTTCCGGGAGTTGGGAATGCTCCCTATCGAGGCCTGAATTCTGCTCATTGGGAGTGTCTCCCCAATTTACATTTCAACATGACTCCTGCCTCTGTCCTCTTAGATGTCCCTCCTTTTCCAGCACCTACTTGGCCACTCTGAAAAAAAATGTGCCTCTTAGTTATCTAGTGCTGCTGCAATAGAAATAGGACAAATGAGTGGCTTTGTCTCTCTATCAGCTCTGGAGGAACGTCCTTGTCTCCTTTTGAACGTCTGCTCCTGGGCAGTCTTCATGTGGCTTGGCATCTCTCTTCCCCCATCTCTGTTCTGCTTGCTTGTTTAGTGTTTTTATACTTCAAAAGAGATTGCCTCAAGATATACCCTGCACTAATCCTACCTCATTAGCATAACAAAGACAGACCATTCCCAAATGGGATCATAACCACAGGCATAGAGGTTAGGATTTACAACACATTTTGGGGGGGCATAATTCAAGCCATAACATTCTACCCTTTGCCCCCCCCCCATGTCCTTGCCACATGTAAAACACATTCACCCCATCAGATCATCCCAAAAGTCTTAAATCAACTCTAAGTCCTAAATCCTATCTTCTAAATCATCTAAATTAAGTATGGGTGAGACATTAGGTGCATTCCATCCTGGAACAAAATTCCCGTTCATCCGTGAACTTGTGAAATCTAGACTATAAGTGATTTGTTTCCAAATTACAATGGTGAAACAGGCACAAGGTAGATATTTCCATTACAAATGGGAGAAATTGGAAGGAAAGAAGGGATAATGGGCACCAACCAAGTCCAAACACCAGCAGAACAATTTACATTGGTTCTCAAGTTTTGAAAATAATCCTCTGTTCTTTGGGACCATCTGGGTAAGGATCCTGCCCTCCAGACTCTGGGTCTTGGCCAGGCCCTCTGGATTCTGGGTGGAGGCCCCTCTGCCCTGGGCTTCAGTTCTACCTTCCAGGCCCACTGGCACAGCAACTCTACTCCCTTGGCTTTGGGCGACCCTATTCTCCTAGCCTATCTAAGTGGCAACCCCACCCCCTAAGCTCCAGCAGTCCCCGTTTTTCTGCCCCTTGGGCATGGCAGCCCCACCCCCTCTGCTTTGGGCAGCAGCCCCATCCTGACACACTTTGACAGCAGCGCCACACTCTGGAACTGAGTTGGCGAAAGATCTGTCTCTTTGAAACCTAAGAGGCCGTGGCTGCACCCTTTGAAATCAAGGTAGCCCTGCTGCCTATGCTCCTTGTAACATTCTCCTGATCTCCGAGCTGCTCCAGGGATGGTTCTTTTCTTTTCTTGGCGGACGACAGATGTAGTTCCTTTGGCCTGTTTCCTACCTGTGCAATTCCAAGAGGCAGACAGCATTCTGTCCTTTCATTCTTTCTCTGTCCCCTTAAGTCTAAAATGGTGGATTTTCTGCTGTGGTAGTTGGTTAGATCCATCAGTCACAGGCTTAATCTCTTTAACAAAAGATTGTGTAGCCATATGCTTGGTGAAAATTCTAGGACACATATCCTTAGTTTGTACAACAGAATTTTCCAAATCTTTAAGCTCTGTTTTCATTTTGCAGTTGATTTTTAAATCCATCTCTTTTCTCCCACACTTCACTATAAGCGACAAGGAGAAACCACGTAACACTTTTAAGATTTTGCTTAGAAGTCTCCTCAGCCAGATAGCCAGGTGCATCACTTCCAAGTTGTATCTTCCACCAAACATTTGAACATAATTCAGACAAGTTCTTTGCCACTGCATAAAAAGTATTGCCCTTCCTCCATTGTCCAATCAAATGTTCATCAGTCTCATTCAAAGTGTCACCAGAAGCACATTTAACCTACATGTGTCTAGCAACATTCTGCTGCTGGCATCGTATGTATTCTCTAAGATGATAGAGACTTCACAGCTCTCCTCACTTCTTCTGAGGCCTCACCAGAATTGCCTTTGACATCCATAATTCTACCAACAGTCTCTTCAAGGCAATGTAAGCTTTTACTATTAGGCACTGCCTTAGTTATCTAGTGCTGCTGTAACAGAAATACCACAAGTGGATGGATTTAACAGATGTTTATTCTCTCACAGTTTAGTAGCTTAGAAGTCCAAATTCAAGGCGCCAGCTCCAGGGGAAGGCTTTCTCTGTCTGTCAACTCTGAAAGAAGGTCCTTATCATCAATCTTACCATGGTCTAGGAGCTTCTCTGCACAGGAACCCTGAATCCAAAAGATGCACCTTGCTCCAGGCACTGCTTTCTGGGTAGTATGAGGTCCCCCTGTCTCTCTGCTTACTTCTCTCTTTTATATCTCAGAAGAGATTGGCTTTAGACAAAATCTAACCTTGCAGATTGAGTCCTGCCTCATTAACATAACTGCCACTAATCTCACCTCATTAACATCATAGAGGCAGGATTTACAACACATAGGAAGATCACATTAGATGACAAAATGGTGGACAATCACACAATACTGGGAATCATGGCATAGCCAAGTTGACAGACATTTTGAGGGGACACAATTCAATCCATGACAGATACCTTAAAACTCAGCCTCTACCCATTACCCAATTCCAAAATCGCTTCCACATTTTAGGTATCTGTACTCTTAGTTATCTAGTGCTGCTATAACAGAAATATCACATATGGGTGGCTTTAACAAACAGAAATTTAATTTCTCACCATTTAGGAGGCTAGAAGCCCAGATTCAGGATGCTGGTTCTAGCAGAAGGCTTTCCCTCTTTGCCAGCTCTCTTTTTGAGCTTCTGCTTCTGGACAATCTTCATGTGGCTTGGCATGTCTCTTCCCGTCTCTGCTCTGCTTGCTTGTTTGGTCTCTTTTATATCGCTAATTCTGCCACATTAACATAACAAAGACAACCCATTCCCAAATGGGATTGTAACCAGAGGCATAGAAGTTAGAATTTCCAACACATATTTTTTTTTTGGGGGGGGACATAATTCAATTCATAACAGTGCCCTTTGAGCAACTCTCTCAGTTTACTTCCTGCCCTTAGAAAGTTAAAGGCCCAGGGGCCTTTTTTATTTTAATCTGTCCATTCTATTTTAAACCAGCCTGGCAGTGCTTTGTCCAATACAAGTCTCTTAAAAACTGTGTGTGTTTCTCATGAGTCTGATTCAGGTTTACACCATGCTTCAAAAGCCACAGTTCTTTTTGAAACAAGTATCTCTGTTCTTTAAGATTCTTAGAAATCTTTCTATATCACTGAGAGGGTCTACTAGGTACGCTTTAAAACTTTCAAACTACCTTCGATTTGATTTTTATCTTGAGGCCGTATTTTACAGGCACCAACTTGGATTTTATCTTTTGCCCCAGGTTTTGATTTAATTTGAGACTTTTTCCAGCTGGAGAGTCTAAAAATGAGATTTTCCCCTTAACCCAGCATGTCCTGTAAATTCTCCTTGAAAACTGGTGAGGTTTATCTTTGGCTAATTTTCAGAAGTAGATCACCAGGACTTTCTCCTTATCTGTCTTAGTTTGGAAGCTCTGCTGAAACCTGTCCACCGTGGGTGACCCTGCTGGTATTTGAAATACTGGCAGCAAAAACTTTCAGCATCATTGCAACATGCAAGCCACCACAGTATGACACACTGACAGACAGGTGGTGGGAGGACATTATAGACCTGACAAAATATTCACAAACACTGTTGATAGGCAGATGCTTTCTTATGGGGGGAGAGGCGTGAATCCACATCAGAGGCCTGGCCACTTAACTGCAGTGTTGGTGGCAAGCAGAGCTGCTCCAGCTCCTTGAATCGAGGTGTATGTGATATCCATATTG